GCGAATAGTGAAATTAACCATTAAATAAATTAAAGCTTCCATGACTCTAAACTTATTAAGCAAATTAAGTTGACAATTCTTGGAGTCATTTTGGTGACTATTTTGTCTTGCTAATGTTGTTGGTATTGAATAAATATGTACATATAGGTACTGTTTCAAAATCATAAATTAGATTGTAAGATGTATTGGCCGCAGTTGGCAGGCTGTGAAGTGGGGAACCGTAGGCACAACTCTTTAAAAGGCCAAACGTCATTTTGGTGTCCATCAGGTGGGTCTTTGCCTGCAGAATTTGACAACGGGCCTTACAATTCATGGTATTTTAGTGCTTTTGGGTGTAAATGATGGATACGGCCCCTCTTTCTCATTCAATTCATAGCTTATGTCTTGTTTTTCCCTTTTTGGGTAACAATTAGTTGGATAGAAAAGAATTTGTCAATGCCTTTTGAATTTGGAACAACGAGGAGTTCTACTTGCACTACTCTTCTTCAATACCCTGTGTGCATGATTGATTTATGCAGTAAGCATTTCTATATTATTGGTTCACGTACCGATGATTTTAAATACTAAATACCTTAACTTTTCATGTAGATTAATGATAATATATATAATTACTTACTATATGCACCAATTAAATAGAAAGTGTTAAAAGAATAGTACAAAAGAGAAAAAAGTCTATGTACTAATTAAATACCTTGACTTTTAATGTGGATTAATGATAATAGAATTAGTTACTATATGGACCAATTAAATAACAAGTGTTAAAAGAATAGTGCAAAAGAGAAAAAAAAAAGTCTACAATATAACTATTGTACATCCTGCATGGTAAAACCTGTCCAGTAATGTTGACAAGCAAGTAAAAGGGAATTTAGTTTTAATTAGTCAGCCTATGTGAATTAGTCAGTAACTTCACTTTTAATTACGCATCAAATTATTTTTAATGGTCATATGAAAGACTTTTTGACAAAAGTGTCAATGAGCATTTCCCTGTAATGTATAATTTAAATTACCTCGCTCATAATATGGGGATTTTCTTGGTTTTTGATGAAGCAATTATTGTGGCAGTGAAGAAGAGGAGTGGCAGTTGATAATTCCAAACACGAGCTTTGGCCTTTGGTTCTTGGACTCAAAGCCAAGTGAAGAAGAGCAATAGAAAATAATTGTGTGGGTTCTCACATGGAACTGATGGAAGTGATATCTCACATAAGAAAAATGCAAGTTAAGGGGAAATAAATATGTGAATTAGGTTGTTGATTAGTTGGCATATCAGAATTTGACTGGGAAACATGGCAAACATGAATTAAATTTTTTTTTTTAAAAAAAAAGAATATATAAAGTACTTGAAAACTATGATATCTAGATGAACCAAATAATTTGGTACATTGGTGCTTAATATCAATTAGTTTTAGATGAAGGCACATGGCCACTTGGCCAAGTGGGTATTAATATAAATCCAAATAGAGTATTAGATCTCTTGCACTTGTATTTGTTTAAATTAAGTAAAATGAGAATCAAAGCATCTTTCAATCAAAGTTTATGCAAAAGTAGTTCTCAAAGTACAGCTCTTTGCTGATTGTTGTCGCCAAATGGTTTCCTGATTCTCGGCACACAATTGAAACCCCCCAATTTAATTTTCATTGAAAGCAATGCAAAACCAATCCCCTTTTCCAACTAACAGTACAATCGTTTATTATTGATCATCGTATGGCCATGGGATTTTTCGTGCTCCATGCTGACAACTGATACAAATAATTTTTTTTCCCCATTCTGTGGCTAAGTTTAATTTCCAAGAATCTGAATCAGGTTAAATATATGCCTCGTCTTTTTTACAGTCCAACAATTTATGCTAAAACCTTTATATATCCTGTATTTGAAACTCAAATTAATTTAAATTATAGGTGATATTATTGTCACATTTTATAGTGTTAATGCTACACATTAAGTATATGTTTTAGATACATTTTGCTTATTAAAAAAAAAAAAAAAAACGGTGAGAGACAATGATGGTTCCTCTTTATTTGTATTATGGCACTTTCATTAAAGGAAATGGGGAATGGGGTAGGGATCTTGGGTTGAACCATGCAGCTGCGACCCAAAAGGGGAAGGTGGCTGAACCACTAGCTCCACAACTTGGTAAGCAAATTGTATCATAACATTTTGGTATTGATTTGGGTGGCTATTTATAGAACCAATAATAATAATAATAAAAGGAGAAATTGAACGAGAGCCATACAATTCGGAAACCAGCTCATCCTTAATAACAGAAAAGCTGAAAAAGCCTACACTACACGGTGGTCCATTGGGGCCAATAATATCACACATTTCATTGTCACCCATAATTATTCCCATTAATCCGCTAATTTTACTAGTATTTTACAAGTAACTGAGCACGAAATCTATGGGCAGGGTCTCATCCCATCTCATCACCTTCTTGACTGATCAGTTTATAAATTTTTGCAAACACCTAAGATTATAATTAATTCCTTATAAATGATGTTCATCTTAAAAATTAAGATAAATCTTTCACCTAACTATCTAATTAAGAAAAAAAATTTAAAATAGAAAAGTACTTATTCTTTCTATTCTAGAATAATTGTTAATTTTTATTGAATTTAATTAGATTCAAATCTAAAGCTTATTAAAGAAAAACAACAGTTATTGAAGTTAAAAAATGAGATTTATTTTTTAATTAAAGGCACACAAAGAGTACTAACAAAAATTTGACCAAGTTAGTATTTAATAATTTAAAAATCTTCATTTAAAATTAAAATTAAAGATTTAAATCTTTCTAATATT